TATATATATATAAGCTGCATTTTGCTGCCATGCCATGTCCTAGTGATGAAATATTCAGCGACATTTGTTACTCATTTACTAACCAGTTCTAAACATTAAAAAATGAGCCCTTTTACTTCCCTCATGAATACTAAAAGTGAGGTATACAAGTGACCAAATCTGCATAATTTGTTTAAATCAGCCATCATACATGTCTGTACAAAATATACTATGTTTTTTTTGTTCTTGTGGCTCAGCAAACATTTGTGTAGACAAAAAACAAAAAAAGACCTCAATTACTGGAAGAGAGGAGGGTTGGGATGTTTGAACTGAAATTAAAAGTAGTGTAATCTGGTCTAAAGTCCTATGCCTTTTCAGCATTGGATGTTTTTATACAGTGCTGAAACTTGTGTTCTACATTTGATTCATGACATGGATCAAAGGATTTCATATTTTTTTATGTGCAAGGCCAGGTGGGACAACTGAGCTCCTATAAGGTGGTTTTGCACTGCAAGGCCCAGCCTGAGTCAGCCTGGGATGGCCTGATTTCATTACCTGTGTTCGGTGTGTTTGTTTTAGCCCTCATGGCCTAGATTCACCTCGRTTTCTGGAAACCTGTGACCTGTGGATCTATCAGGTCTGGGCTGCTTGGTCCAATGTAACGTCAGCTACTGCTGCTTTTTGATCGGTTGGTTGGGGGTGTGTTTACATCATACACAACAACAGTAAAGAGCTATAACAACAAGCTAACATTAGCTACCATTAGCTTACCGTTCTCTGACATCCTGCCCTCTCGTCTTAAGTGCCATACAGCTGGATGGTCCACTGCAATCTTTAGTATTTTCCTTTGAGTTTGGTATAGTCCGTTATTGTTCTGTTGCAAATTAAACAAAATAAGATCCACACGTATTTAATTTTATGATCCTGTCCACAATGAGGCGGCTCTCTGCTCAATGCAAACACAACCAGGGCCGGGGTAAAGCCAGGCCAAATGGAGCGAGCCAAGCCTTACAATTCAAAAACGMCTTGTGTGTAGTTTAACCAAGCATGGTCATTTTTAAATGAATGCTTTGAAACAAGGAAGAGACATAAGATATATTTCTGTTTCTAAAGTAAACGAACATGTTCAGCATTTTACAAACTATTGCAAAAAGGCCAATGTTGGGATTCCTGTCATGTAAATCTGGGATGGTGTTTTTCCACTTTAGTATAAAGTGTTGCTAAGTGTAAAAAAGCTTTTCATTTTAGTGCGCAGGAAGCCGTAAACAACTGTAACAGTTCAAAAGCGAGAACAGAACCACATTTCAAAAGAGCTGAACTATCKTTGGAAGGCTTCCTTTTTTATTTCGAAGGACATCAGAGCAAGCTCTATGTAATTATCTTTGCTGATGGCAGCCTGTGCCATCTTTCCCAAAAACAATTGTATGGGAAATGAATTGCACGGTCGATTAAACTAACCAAGTCAGTTTCATTACGTGTTGAAGTTTACACCCCGCACCTTTCCTTAATACAGACTCTGAGCCACGTGTCAGATTTTATTGGAGAAGCTACATGACTCTGGGTTTCCATCCATCCTTCATGATAACTTAAATTATCTGAATTCTACTTTGAAAAAAGTTTTATAATGTGTACATTTATTTTTATTGGCTCTGCATTATTAGTTGTTATTAGTAGACACAATTTGTAATAATTGTGTATTAACAGCTTGAAGTTGTGCATTTATTTTCCGTTTGTTGACTGTGTTGTCTTGCAGGCTTTACTCTGACTACCTTTACTTCGGTATCGCCAATAAATCTGCAGAGGATTTCCACGAGAAGGTGTCCGAATCGCTGCAGCTATTTGAGGGGTGCCTTACGGAGTACACAATGCGTTCCTGTGTGTACAACACAACCGTCAACAACGCCATGCCAGTGAGTTGTCCCTCCCTCCTGCTTTTGTCTGGCAGCGCTGCTTTTGAGMTGCATTTAGCCACCAGTTTATTAGCTGGTGGGAAGAGAGAGAAAGAAAAAAAAAGGAATGGAGAAAAAAAAAGGCAGATGGAGTGAAATCCACGCTTCATTAGCCCACGCTAAAGCTTGAAAAACTGAGTTTAGGGAAAAGAATTGACAACACTACTATGCAATTCAAAGTTTTAAGCCTGTTTTTGTGTGCAACAAAACTGGGTTCAGCAAAACGATGAACTTCTTTCTGGCTTAGAGAACAAGTCTGGGTGTTCGGCTTCCAGCCAGATTTTCCCACACCGCCCTGAGGCAGACGGGCCAGTCCTCTTTTGGCTCAGTGCATAAACTGCCTGGTATTCAGAGGTCCTGCTCCCAAACTGCCTCTGACAGGCTCCACGTCCCTGCAGGTCAGCGATTCCTCCCCACAGCTGGCCTGAATGTCCATCGTCTAATATCAGCGTTATTAGCTCATGTTGAAAAGGATTACAGCTGTGCTTACTTTTTTTTTTTTCCATTTTCTGATATATAGTTTATAAAGCTCAGATTTGAAGCTGGAGATAAAACAAGTACAAACTAACATTGGCCAAGTC